GCTTTCTCGACGCGAGTTACTTCTTCCTTTAAGCTGTAGCTGTAAGCGGACGGTTAGTCGACCGTGGCATTTATTTTCTTAGCATTTAAACGAATTGAGCTCGATCGGCGGAAGAGCACGTGCCCTCCGACGTTGTGAAATTCGTCTCCGAGGAAGCGTGCAACTGGCATTACCCCGCATACATAGCCTGGTTCGAACCGGGTCCAGCTTACGGCAAGGTCGACGATGCCTTGCCGCGTCATCTTTCTCTCTGATTTCGCGAAACGAGCGATTCCAAGGCGAGAGACAGAAGAGAGAACAAGGTCAAAGATCGTGTAGCTACACGGGGAAACGCGAAGCGAGAAGAAAAATTCTCGCGGCAAGGCTTCTTACCGTCGAATTGCGGTAAACGGACGACCAGGCTGATAGGAAAATGTGCGACTGATACAAACCAGTATTCGTGCGAGAAAGTGTAAAATAAAATTCGCGTGATCTAGCCTTAATGAGAAAGATTAAATTAGGTATTAAATTGAGGCGGCACCGCGATGGATGGTCCCGCGTCGAAATTTATCTCGATTGGCTGTAAAATATTGTCGTGGAAAGTGGGCCGCGAAGGCGAACGTTACTGAACGAATCGCATCCTCCAGCTTGAAGAGAGGAAAAGTCGAAAAAAAAGAAAAAAAAAAGGAAAGCTATTTCTGTGGAGAACGTCGTCGAACGCGTTCCCTCTTTGCACGGCGATGTATCTAGTGAGAATAATGTTACTAGGTAACTTAAGCGTATTTTAAAAGAAAAAAAAAAAAAGAAAAGAAAAGAAAAGAAAAGAAAAGAAAGAAACAAAGCATAACGAAATGCCAGTTGTAAAGAGTTTTTTCTTTTCGTAAAGGAAGAAAAGAGAGAAAAATAATCGGAGAAGTACGGAAAGACATGTTCGATAAGAGGGAACATGTCTGGGGCGGCGCGTCCGTTCATTGCCGGGGAAACGAAACTAAAGCGAATTGGCAACACTTGGGGGCGAAGAAATTGAAAATTGATGGAACAGAAAGGTGAACATGAAATTTTTCGTCAGGGGAAAACGAAAGTTACGATATCAAATAGGAGGGGAAGAAAGAGTTTCCGAAACGGCAGATCATATTCGGTCGCGGCGTTGGTACGATCGGTTTTTCGTTTTTCTTTCTTTTGCTTATTTCGGACCGCCCGAAGGGAACCATCACGAGTTCCAGCAAAACATGAAAAACGGAGTGAACTAAGGTGATAGAAGGTGATAAAGAAAAACAAGAAAGGAAAAAAGTAAAAATAACATGAAAAGGAAAGGTAAAATAACAAAGGTGAAAAAGGCATAAGACGATTTAAGAAAAAAAAAAAAAAAAGAGGAAAAAAAA